GAGAAACTCCCTCTGGAAGGACAGCGGAGGGAGGGAGGAAGGGAGGACTCCGGGAGCCTAAGGGCTGGAGGGGAGGAGAAGCCACCTCGACTACAGCTACGCTACAGAGGAGCAAGGTCAACAGAGGAGGAAGGTCACTGCTGGAGCCTCCTGGCTAGGGAGGGGAGGGGAGGGGAGGGGGGGAGAGGCAGCCCCAGGACTCCCGGGGTCTTCAGTGAGGGGCGTGTCCACTTGCAGGTTAAAAGGAGCAGGACAGTCCACTTACCCTATTAAAATCTAACGGATGCTCTTCGTTACAGGGCATGTCTTTAGCATCTGGATGCTCTTCTATACCATTCTCTCCCTTGGCTTTTGTGTAACAGTCTTATCATTTTGTGTGGAGAAGGGAAAAAAGGGAAAGGGGGAAATTCCATTAAGACAGATGTGAGACAGACATTCTCGCTTCATCTTCTGCTGAAAGTCATATCAGTTAGGTCTGCCCGCCCTGGGGGTCAAGTGCTCACTAAGCAGCCGGCCAGGCTTCTTTTAACAGACTATTTTTTTTTTTTAATCCAGGCCAGGATAACCATATGTTCCTGTTATCTGAACATGACACATTCACTCAACAAACAGATACAGCCACACCTTGTCTTACTGCGCGTCACAGATTTACTTTAAAAAACAAACTGAAGGCAAGACCCTCCACCAGCAAAAAGATCACAACTCACTTTCCTGTGAACTCACTTTATCTGGTGGTCTGGAAGGAACCTGCAATACCTCCAATCACAGCATAAAGAGTCAGGCCCTGCAATACCTCCCAGGTGTCCTGCATTCACACCATAAAGAGTCAGGCCCTGCAATACCTCCCAGGTGTCCTGCATTCACACCATAAAGAGTCAGGCCCTGCAATACCTCCCAGGTGTCCTGCATTCACACCATAAAGAGTCAGGCCCTGCAATACCTCCCAGGTGTCCTGCATTCACACCATAAAGAGTCAGGCCCTGCAATACCTCCCAGGTGTCCTGCATTCACACCATAATGAGGCAGGCCCTGCAATACCTCCCAGGTGTCCTGCATTCACACCATAATGAGACAGGCCCTGCAATACCTCCCAGGTGTCCTGCATTCACACCATAATGAGGCAGGCCCTGCAATACCTCCCAGGTGTCCTGCATTCACACCATAAAGAGTCAGGCCCTGCAATACCTCCCAGGTGTCCTGCATTCACACCATAATGAGGCAGGCCCTGCAATACCTCCCAGGTGTCCTGCATTCACACCATAATGTCATAGACCTAGGACCACAAGATAAAAGACCGACAAGGTCGGAGCCTGAAAGGGTGTACGTTGCATGGAGGGAGACAGACGATGTGCCGCATGTATGTCTGTATAACACGTGATCAAAGGAATTCAGACTCGAGGAAGTCAATGAGAAAACAAGGCAGGGCAGCATCCTTGTCTGCTCCTCCGCAACTCACTCACACTCTCTCTCTCTCTCACACACACACACACACACCCCACTTCTTTCTTTCCCCTGGGGGTCAGAGAGACAATGAGGCAGGAGTCTGACTGGGGATCGGCCACAGAAAGGGACGAATAAAGACCTACGAGCTGAAATGAGAAGGGATCAAAGCAGGTGCCCAGTGGCTCTCAACCCTGGCTGTGCCCTCACATCACCTCGGAGCTTTGGGAAGGTTTGCAGGCCGAGTCCTCATCTGAGATTCCAACTCAACTGGCCTGGGGAGGAGGCTTGGTATGAGCATTTTCCAAAAAGCTCCCAGGTAATTCCCACCAGCTCCCACCAGTATTTTATGTGTGCGCGCGCGCATGTGTGTATATATAGATGCATATATATAATTTTACTTTTTAATGATAGTTGACTTTTCCCACAGCCAGGGCTGAGACCCAATGGCCTTCGCCTAGACCAGCGCCCTGTTCACCATGACTCTACAGAACAGATCTGGAGGCGACGCAGTGAGGGGTGGAGAGCCCTCAGGCAGGCCTGGGTTTGGACCATTTTTGACATCACTGTGTAAGTCCTTTAATACCCCTGAGCATCTGCTTCCCAGGTGTTCAATGAGATGGCAGGCTGCCCCTTAATGAAAGCGGAGGACAGGGCCAGTGCTCAGTGGCCACTGTACCCTCCCGTCACTGGGCAGTGGGCCTGTGCCAAAGGAAGGCCACCTGAGCCCTGCCTGGCCTCTCACCAAGGCCGCACTGGCCACGCTGTACTTGCCAGAACCTGCTTCGGGTCCTCATTTATTACTTTAGGTTCGTGAAAACAACCAGGCTCTGGGACAGATGGCAGCGGATTCCTGGTTTTGCTACTTGTGAGGTAATGGGGCAAGCTGGCAGAGTCTCTCCGAGCCCCGTGCCCTCGTCTCTAACACAGGGTCACCATGCACCTCACAGATTTCCGGGCAAGTTAAAGAAAAGGCGCAGCCCTGTACAGCGGGGGCACACTCAGTACAGCTCCCGTAAGCACAGGGACCGAAGCCCTGGGCCGGGGACTGGCTGCTCTAGGACAGCGGGAGGACAGCTCACACTCTGATGAGGCAGGACACCCGTTTACCCCCTCCAGGCAGCCACCTTCTCCTCGGCTGGCCCGACCATGCTCCCATGCCCCAACGCCCTACCCCGTGGCTTAGCACCTGAACCAGCTGAGGAGAGTGGGGGGGAGGGGACACCTTCCCTGAGAGGAAGCGGGATGAGTGCCGCCGGGCCCGGCCCTGCTTAAGGCACTGTCTATGCACAGGGGCTGTGACGCTGCAGGAGAGGAAACTTCCTCACTGTCAGTGTTCTCACGACCCCCACTCATGCTGAGGTGGTCACGTCTGGCTGTGACTGTGCCAGGTTTGTTCTGGGCACTTCACCCTTCACAGGTGTCCTCTCAGGGAGGCTCAGCTTTTGCCTCTTTATAAACACAGACCACGGAGGCACAGGAAGACCCAGTCACTGCCCAGGTCCAGCAGCGAGTGACAGGCACTTGATTCCACCTGTTTTGTCTCCTGAGGGCTTAGCTATTACCTATACTGGCTTCCTACAGGGCTCTCCCTTTAAGGCTAAAATGACACACACTTCCAGTGCGGCCCTGGGGTCTGGCCCCCTGCTCCCTGGCTAAACCCCCCCACTCCCCCCTCCGCCGTGTGCCCTTTACCAGGCACACTGGAGCACAGCAAATGCACTTCTGCTCCAGCCAGGGCCTCTGCCGGGTGCCTCTCCCCGCAGGAAGCTCCTGTGTCACATGGCTTATGTCCTTATTTCCTCAGGTCCCTGCTCACATGTCAGCTGACCAGGAGGGCAGGGACTCGGCCTCCTTGCCTCTGCATCCCCAGCGCCTAGAACAGTGCCCAGCAGAGGCAGGCATGCAAGAAGTATTAGCTGAATGGCTACGAATGCACAGCAAGGCCGGCAGGTGGCAGAGTGCACGCGAGCAAGGCTCCCACGCGGCTCTGGGCACAGGGACCAGCTGCCTCGCTGTGAATGGGAGGATGCTCCTCCTTCCCGGGGGGCTGAGAACTCCCAGGTCAGCCCTGACTCCGAGCCACGTGCCTGTGTTAATCATTAGCAAAGTTAGAAGCTTCAGGAGCTGAGGCTAGCTGAGGGGGAGAGGCTGCATGCTTCTCTGGCCAACCTGAAACCACAGGCCCCCGCTCCTGTAAGAGGAAATGACGACGGTTTGAACACCATGAGGCAGCTGTGCAAGGATTTAACCCGCACTTGGGAGTCAAAAGTCACCATTATGTATCCACTGAGAGCTGCTCTGTGTGTTTCACGATAAAAACGCATTGTGCACGAACAGTCACTTACAGCACTACCAAAGGACCGTGGAGACACCAGGCACCCAGAGCTAAGAGCTGGAATTGGATTTCTCACTAACGAATGACAGGAAACTGGACCAGGGCAGCGACATAGCTGGGGACACACTGACAAAGGAAGAACTCTGAGTGTTTGAAAGTCATCCTAAGCCTCCCAGGTGCTGGGCTTTCTCGACTCCCAGGCCCTGCCTGCAGCCCATCCCTCTCCCTGGCTCTTC